AAACCTATTGTCTACCATTTATTGTTGTTATTTTACAGGTCTGTGATTCTCAGAGATAACATTGCTTCATGAGGGCGTGTCTCTCTATGTGCCTTCTTTATATTGCTTTTTGGTTATGGGCCTACAGGCCATATGGCCATATGCCTTACATAGTGTTACTTAGACCCTACTGCGGGTCTCATATGGGTATCTCTGTGTCTGTTGTATGATGTCTCCCTTTTTTGTTTGTTGTCTGTTATCACTTTGTATCATATGACTTGTAATGCTTTGTATGTTACTTTCAACATGCTTAATAAAATCTTTGGTAAAAGAAAATAGATAATAAATTATATCATATTTACTTGTTTTAAACTTTTTTTTACATTTCTTCAGTTACTTTTTGGTTTCCATGAGTAGGCAAATGATGTGGAGGAGTTTTCTCAGCTAAGCATACCCTCCTGCCTGTATGCCTGAGCTAAAGGCACATGGATTCCAGGAAGTAAATGATGCATGGATTATCTGCCCTTACTCAAAATGGCCACAGCTACAAATACTAGGTTTGTGTTTTTCAAAGTGTTTTGTCAGCAAAATAAAGCATGGAGACATGGATGTATGAGTGGGTTTTCTTTACGTATTAAAAGTGAATTAAATATCATTTTTGGTTTGTGGTGCTCAGGTGCTGTGTAGTTCCCCTTTAAGCTTTGATCAGTCAATATAATATATATACAATAGCTACAGTAAGCTCACACATAAACAACAATTGACTGAAGATTTAGTTTAGTTTTTATTATAAAATATTACAAGAACTCATTGACCAATTTATGATGATAATGATAAATATACAGTAATTGTCAATATTTTTATGCAATGACATATTAACAATCCCTCTACTAGTTTTTTTTTATAAGCCCACTACTATGATGCTCAGTAAAGTAATACTGTATAAGGTGTACTACATTGTTTGAAAATGAATAAACACATAAAATAGTACATCTAAATAACAAAACTAGTCCATCTTCTTATTTTTTTCCATTTTCAGGCACTTTATACATAAATATGTGTAGGAGAGTGATAACAGAACTGGAAATGGAATGTCTTCAAATGAAAGTTTTTACAAGATGTGTAGGAGGATGAAATAAAAGGATGGAAATGGAAAGTCTCCAAATGGAATTCTGTAACAAGACGTGTAGGAGGACAATAAGAAGTGGAAATGGAATATCTTCAAAAGGAAGTATGCTGCATGACATGTAAGAGGATGATGAAAAACTGGAAACGGAATGTTTTTACATTATTGTGTTTACCAAAACACACACTAGATGTAATAAACTGCTATAGATCATAGAAAGAAATTGCACTAAAACATAATTAGTCCAGCTACTAAGATTGTCCTTCTGTTATATAATGAATGGCATGCTAGCCAATGTTGTTTTAAATTTGTGACTTCAAGAATGCAGCATGGCAATCAAAGAATGAAAACAAGCTAACGGGGTAGATTTACTAAAACTGGAGTACTCAGAATCTGGTGCAGGCATGCATGTGGCCAATCAGCTTCTACCTTCTGCTTGTTCAATTAAGTTTTGAAAATAAAACCTGGAAGCTGATTGGTTTCTATGGAGAGTTGCACCAGATTTTGCACTCTGCAGTTTTAGTAACTAACCCCCAATGACTGCTATATATTTTTTCAGTTGATAGGCTCCACAATATCTGTATGAGTGATCTGAGTGGCTACATAGCACCCAATTTTGTCTGCAAAGTAAAAATGATCCCCCTCCAAGGCCTGTGCTCACACGTAGGACTCACCAGGCAGAATCACCATCATTATCATGTTTAAGATAATATAGGATTTTAGCGATTATAGCTGTATTAAATCCAAAACCAAAAATGTATTACAGCTTACCAATCATTAGATAATATGGCTTCATCAGTTTTTCTTCTTTGGCTTTTCTCCTCTGCTTTTACCTGATATTTTTATTCTTATAATGTAATTTTTTATTAAAAAGTTTTCATAGGTACAAGGCTTTTGTACTACAGTCTTCACTATTGAGAATAGGCATGCCAAAGATCAGAAATTCAGCAATCTCAAGTAAAAAAAAAAGTAGTCACCCTAGATAGAACTGAAAGTAACAACACCGACAATGAGTAAAGAAAGGAATAATTACCTGGCACAGGTATCTATTTGGTTAACTATTCGTGTGAAGGAACAATCTCTGAAATCACCAGTTAGGGTATAATAAAAACATGTAGCTACAAAGACATAGCTTACTGGGCAGCAGCCTATAATTCTGCTTTCAAACATGTTCCAAGATGTATAATAGTTCAGTGCAAACAAAAGATGAGATTAGATTAAAGGAGAGTAGAAAAGAAGGAAGCGAAAAAAGGAAAAGAAGAGGGGAGGGTGTAATCGGAGTAAAGGCCATACATATAGCAATTTTCTTTCCATCAACCACGAGTTGGAGTTTTCATAGGTAAAATCCCAGCAATGTACATAGATTACCTAGAGGGGAATGTTTTTTTTTTTTTTTCGCAACAAAAATGGAGTTACTCTTTAAATAACAAACATGTCATACTTACCTGCTCTGTGCAATGGTTTTGCACAGAGCAGCCCCAATTCTCCTCTTCTTGGGCCTCCGCCGGTGCTCCTCACCCCTCCCACCTGCCCAGTGCCCTTATAGCAAGCAGCTTGCTAAGGGGGCACCCAAGCAGGCTCACTCCTGAGTTGCTGCTCTGTGTGTCCATTCACACATGGAGTGCAACTTGGCTCCACTCCCTGCCCTTTCCTCATTGGCTACGATTGACAGTAGCGAGTAGTATGATTGACACAGAATGTATGAAAGTAAAAAAAAACCTCCAGCCTTTATAATCACTTTAAGTAAGATAGTAATGGGGAAAACAGCAGCATATAGGAGCTACAAGGAAGCAGGTAGTGGGGAAAGTGAATAGATCTCTAGGACGTATCATTACCAGGAATCACCAGTAGGAGGAAGGGGGTCCTGAGTCCTCTATGTAGACCTATAGTTATCAGTAGAGGGATCACCAGCAGGAGGAAAGGGGTCCTGAGTCCCCTATGTAGATCTATATTTATCAGTAGAGGGATCACCAGTAGGAGGAAGGGGGTCCTGAGTCCCATATGTAGATCTATAGTTATCAGTAGAGGGGTCACCAGCAGGAGGAAGGGGGTCCTGAGTCCCCTATATAGATCTATAGCTATCAGTAGAGGGGTCACCAGCAGGAGGAAGGGGGTCCTGAGTCCCCTATATAGATCTATAGTTATCAGTAGAGGGATCACCAGCAGGAGGAAGGGGGTCCTGAGTCCCCTATATAGATCTATGGTTATCAGTAGAGGGATCACCAGCAGGAGGAAGGGAGTCCTGAGTCCCCTATATAGATCTTTAGTTATCAGTAGAGGGGTCACCAGCAGGAGGAAGGGGGTCCTGAGTCCCCTATATAGATCTATAGCTATCAGTAGAGGGGTCACCAGCAGGAGGAAGGGGGTCCTGAGTCCCCTATATAGATCCATAGTTATCAGTAGAGGGATCACCAGCAGGAGGAAGGGGGTCCTGAGTCCCCTATATAGATCTATAGTTATCAGTAGAGGGATCACCAGCAGGAGGAAGGGAGTCCTGAGTCCCCTATATAGATCTTTAGTTAAGACTAAATGGATTACTAGCAGAAGAAAGGAGGTCTCGATTCCCTTATATGGTTCTTTAGGTATCATCAGAAGGATCTCCAGCAGGGGGAGAGAGGTCCTGGTTCACATACAGTATATACAGGAAATTATTAGTTATCACTAGAAGGATCACCAGCAGGAGGAAGGAGGTCTGGATTCATATATATAGATCTATGCCCAGTTCTGGAGGCCTCACTTCCAAAAAGATATCGATAAAATAGAAGAAGTCCAGAGACGGGGCAACAAAAATGGTGTAAGGTCTGAGGGCTAAAACATTTCAGGAGGGATTGCAGGAACTTAATATGTACAGACTTGAGGAAGCAAGGGACAATGGAAACATGAGTGAAACCTTTAGGCTTCTTTAGGCTAGATCTGGTTTTGCTCAACAGGGGATCCGTCCGCTGATCCCCTGCTGAGCAGAGCTGCTAGATGACAGGTCCATGTCCATTCTACTTATGCAGATCAGAGACAGACACAGCCTGCTACGATCTATGGGCAGTCAGATGTAAAAGGACCTGCTGAACTGAATTCAAACATGCTTTGGCCAAACCTGGATCTATACTCACACAAAAAAAGGTAAGATAAAAATAAAAAAAAACAAAAAAAAATTTAAAAAAATGGAGCTGACTAGATGTTTTGTCTGCCATAACTCCCCTATGTTTCTGTGTCTGACCAGGTGGAGATCTGTGGCAGTTTTGTATAGTGAAAACTGCTGCACTCCCTTAGTTATTTGCAGACCCCGATGCTGGTGGTCGATCAGCTTTGTTAATGTGGTGTATACAACACTGTTTTCTGCCAGTTTTCTGCTTCATTATAAGATGCAGCAAGCTTAGCTAACTCCCAAGACTATGCCTATACCAGTGAATACCCAGAACAGCCTTGGAGTCTCTGTTCCAAGATATCACTGCAGTACACAGTACATATAAAAAGGTGGGGAGTGTGGTGATATAATAGGAGATTGCATCCCATACATTACATACAACACATCTATATATACACATAAATAAGGATACCTCTATCTGTTTATCTCCAACAGTAAGCTTTATTACAGAAATATACTAATTACATACATATACATCCACACCCACCCCTATAAAATGGACAAGAAAATCCACCCCAGTGTAAACCCCTTCTATCACGCACTCAAACTAGGCAGCTAATAATGTAAACGAATATAAAATAAATCTGCACAAAAAACATACTGTATACGAGGGGCATTCAAGTCAAACCGGGACTTTTATAGGTATAAAAAGGGATGCTAGCGTTGCAGTACTTGAGTAGTAAGCGGCAAGTGTGTCCTATTACTGATAGGCGCCGCACATGTTGCGGACCAGTCTAGAGACCGTTATTCAAGATGGCAGACAGCAGTGTTGGTGCGTGCATGGAACAGCGTGTGGTGATGAAGTTTCTTGTGAACAAAGGTGTAAAACCCGCGGATATCTACAGAAGACTTCAAGCACAGTGCGGTGATGAGACTCTCAGCCACAGTAAGACATTTGAATGGTGTAAATGTTTCAAAGATGGCCGTACGTCCGTCAGTGACAGTCCCGGCTGTGGTGGTTCCCAGCCCACAGCAGTCATTCCTGTGATCATTCAGCACGTAGAACGCCTGATCCTGGATAATCAATGCAGAACCTGTCATGAAATTGCACAAGTGAAGAATCTTTCTGTAGGAACGGAAAAGACATTTGAATGGTGTAAATGTTTCAAAGATGGCCATATGTCCATCAGTGACAATCTGGCTGTGGAGGTCCCAGCCCACAGCAGTCATTCCTGTGATCATTCAGCATGTGGAATGCCTAAACCTGGATAATCGTCGCATAACCTGTCATGAAATTGCACAAGAGACGAATCTTTCTGTGGGAACGGTGAACACAAAAGATGATAATGTGAAGGCGGCTGGTTTAGGATGGTTCAGGGGTACTGACAAATCTTTCTATGCCAAAGCTTTGCAGACATTAGTTAAACACTTGGATGTGTATAAATGTAGCAGGGGAGTATGTCGAAAAATAAAAAATTTCCAGTCCATAAAATTTGTTCTTTTATTATATAAACGCAAAAGTCCTGGTTTGACTGGAACGCCCTTTGTACATATCCCTCAATGCAAGGTAACAGTGAGAAACATTTTTTTTCAAAGTACTTATTTAGATATTTGTTAGCCCAGAACATCAAGATTGGTAACAATATAACACAGGAGTGGGTGGATTGTCGTGAGTTGGGGGCTGCTATATCCCTAAAATATAATTGCAAAGAGGATTGTCTCCCACGGGAATTTAATGCAGTCATACAAGTCAACATAAATGTATAAAATATAATTGTATTCATACAAATTCCATTAAAAACCATAACAATAAAAATAGAATCATTAAGCTCCGACATTCAAACTATATATACTTCAACAACTTGTGCCTCTAAGGCATAAATTACAATTATTATTATTATACAGGATTTATATAGCGCCAACAGTTTGCTCAGCGCTTTACAATATAACGGGAGACAATACAGCAACAATACAGTTCAATACAAGAGGGTTAGGAGGGCCTGATCCTGGGAGCTTACAATCTAAGACAATATGGCATAGGCCACTTGTTTGTACTCATGATATACAGTCTATCCCCATCGCGTTTGAACTAATATAGAATTAATATTTGCAAAATGGAGAGAATTTCCAGTTGCAACCAAAGGTGCGGTATACATCTTGCGAATGTGGTGCATTTTATATTGGGAAGACAAAACAAGAGTTTTGGAAATGCATGTATAAACACATACATGGTATGAGGATAGGCAATTTATGCCTCCCAGTAGGGAGAGATGCTGCCCATACACATAATTAGACATTTCCCAATATTAAATTCTCAGCATTAGACCGTGTACACATTCCTATAAGGAAAGGAGACTGGAATAAGGCATCATTCACATCAATGTGTTTTTTAGTGCTTTTTGCAGAAACACACTACAGTCCATTTACCATGGTTTCCTATGGAACATGTTCACATCTATGCTTTCTGAGCTGCTGTGTTTTTGGGAAGGGTCAGGGACTTTTTTTAAAAGCAAAAAGCAACATTTTTGCTACAATAGAATTCAATGGAGAATCTGCTGAAATGCACGGTAGTGTGTTTTTCCTGCGTTTTTGCCGTGTTTTACGTTTTGCATTTTTAATCATTAACATTGGATGCCAGAGGCTTCTGAGAACTCTGACATTGATGACCAGTTACTACACTGTAGCTCCTATGATTAATTAATTTACAACTGGTAACCTATACTCAAAGATTGTTTGTTTGTACATTTATATAGGTCTTCATCTCTCCTGGGATACTGTATATTTAATTTCTAAGCCTATGTCTTAACGCCATCTATCCTACTACCTCTTGCATCCGCCCATGCAAACATAGAACTCTTTACGGGTAACTATAAGTTTAATATGCAATTGGAAATTCCTTTTACATACAGGCGTACCTCGGTTTACGAACGCCTCGGTTAATGTAATTTTCGGTTTACGAATGAAAATCCATTGAAAATAATGCCTCGGTTTACGATTTTTTTTTGCTCATTACAAGAAAGTTTCCCCAGGAAACATTGCGCTTGGGAGATTTATAGTGCCGGCCCCGTGCCTTTAAAGTGCAATTTATAAAGAGATTTGAACAGATAAGACTTTTTTAAAAAAAAAAATTCTGACCTCCGGAACGGATTAATTGGTTTTCAATGCATTTACTATTTTTTTTCGCAATACAAAGCAATTTTCCCCAGGATGAATTGCGCCTGGAAGGTTTATAGCGCCGGCCCCATGCATGCTGGAGTCTGTGGGTAGCACGTGGCGTCGAGTGTGGAGGTGTTGCAGCGGTTTTTGCATCGAGTTTTGGAGCCATTCTGGAAATTTTTTAACATGTCCCTGTACAGTATATATGTTTTGAACAGATAAAAGACTTTTTTTTTTTACTTTTTTCTGACCTCCGGAACGGATTAATTGGTTTTCAGTGTATTCCTACGGGAAACCGCATTTCGGTTTATGAATTTTTTGCAATACGAAACGTCCCGGAGAACGCATTAAATTCGTAAACCGAGGTACGCCTGTATGTGATTACATGACATACAATGCACATGAGATTCAATGTGGTCCCTTTCTCCCTTATTTCTGTGCAGTTGGGGTTTGTGGTTCCCTTCCCATTTGGTTTTGGGTGTAGATGTTGGGTCCTTGGGGGTTTCTTGGCACACAGCTGTGCTGCCTTTATGGTCTTCCAAGTTGATGTTGAACGACCTCTTTATGCTTTCTAGCAATTCAAGTGAGAGTCATAAATAAAATGTGAAGCACAACAAGATAATTTTGGCATTCTACTGTTTTGCTCTTTTTTCATTATAGGTACCCCAGGTATCCCCCCTGATGAAGATTATATATTAATCAAAATGTGACAGATATAGACTGCATATCATAAGTACACTCAAGTGGCCTATGCCATATTGTCATTGTAATTTATGCCCAGAGGCACAAGATGTTTGAAGTATATACAGTTTGAATGTCCAAGCTCAATAATTCTCATTCTTTTTATTTTGTGTGGTTTTTAATGAAATTTGTATGAATACAAATATTTTTTATACATTTATATTTACATGTATGGCTGCATGGGAGACAATCTTCTTTGCAATGGTAACAATATAATACCTTGAATATCAATTAAAGACCAAAGACCCCACTGATCTGCCCTTAACTGGAAAAAGCCACATTTACTTACCAGAATGTTGGGAAATAATGACAGAATAATGACTGCAGAATGCTGGATGTTCTTGAAAACAAATGTTCCACCCTGGACAAGAGTGTAGAAAAATTGCAACACTTCACCATACAGTATACAATTTTCTTGTATTAATAGATTTACCAAAACCATATAATATATGGTGAACCCCAACCACTTTCAATCTGTATGCAATCAGACACCCTGGACAAGAGTGCTTTAATTAGAGTGATTTAACTTTGCGCTATATAGTTCAAGTTAAATCTAAAGGAAATTGAATAAGAAAATTGTATAATGTATGGCCACCCCCCCTTCACACCTAAAAATATTGGAATCGCAGGATTCTGCTTATGTTTCCAAAATGCAGTAAAACATGCATTCAAACGGCATTCATTCTTAGTAGCACTCCAAAAGCCAAAATGTGCAAAAATTTGCAAAATTGTCTCTTCCAAAATAATATGTCAAAGTTGGCTCCAAAAAAAGCTACTGGAGTTAATTTGGTGTGTTTTTGGAGTGGAAGGCATCACTAGATGAGAGTGGAGCCTAATGCAGGCCATAGATGGGGAGAAAAACGGCCGATTTTTTCGTCCGAAAATAAAACCGGCCGATTATCTTAACGTTAGTGGACGATTTTGTCGGCCGTTTTTCGTGTATTTTGGACTTTCAGATTATCGGTGATGTTGGAAAATTTTCGAAAAACGCCCGACTTTATCCTCATTGATGGTCAAAAACGAACGATCGTTTTCCGAAAAAGGATCACAAAGGTCACAAAATGACATCATTTCCCGTTATAGGTTACTCATTAATCGGCCGATTTTCGTAATAATTGGTGGTCAGGTAAGTTTTTTAGACCGACCGATAGTTCGTTAATTGGCCGAAAATCTGCCGTTTTTCTCCCCATCTATGGCCTGCATAAGGCTACATTCACACCTAGGCAGGTTTGTGCACTTTCACACAACGCACAAAAACACACCCCTTTTTGCAGATGTGTGCCAGTGCTGTTGATTATTATTATTATACAGGATTTATATAGGGCCTACAGTTTGCTCAGCGCTTTACAATATAAGGGAGACAGTACAATTACAATACATTTCAGTACAGAAGGAATAGGAGGGCCCTGCTCATGGAGCTTACAATCTAAAGGTAGGGGGAGGTGATACAAAAGGTGATAGCTGTGGGGGATGATCTGGTGGAGGTGATTCAAGTACAGTTCTTAGGTGGAGGTGGGGTAGGCTTCCCTGAATAAGTGAGCTTTCAAAGATCTAAAGGCAGACAGGGTGGGGGCTGACCAGACATACTGTGGTAGGGAGTTTCAGAGGATGGGAGAGGCTCTGGAGAAGTCCTGGAGGCGAGCGTGGGAGGAGGTGATGGCACCTCTGTAAAAAACACACACGGCAACAAGGTACCATGCGCTTTTTTGTGGCGTAATTTTTACAAAGGGTCAAACACTTCTTTTGCACATTTTCATATGTAGGGCAGCCCATTGAAATCAATGGGCATCCCTAAACGCAACACACAGGAACGTGCAAAAACACACACATGCTCCGTTGGATTAATTCATATTTGCATTTGAACCTCCTAGAAATTGCTCTTCCTAAGGCCCCATTCGCATCTGCACGTTCCTGGAAACATATGAAGAAACATGAGAAAAATGTAAAAAAAAAAAATGTCGCACTTAATTGTTAATGGCACCTCAAAAGTGGCTAGCAATTGCGTGACAAATGCTTCAAAACATGCTCAATGCAAAAAAAAAGGTGTGGAAGCTTCTTTTGGTGCTTTTGTGAAGCATACAGCCTATGGTGTCGCACAAAAAAATGCGCAAAAAACAATGTTTTCAAAAGTTTGTGAAATGTCAAGTGTTAATGGGGCCTTAGGCTCCATTCACATCTAAAAGCTGCGTGTTGTGCTTGCAGTGGCACCCCAAATGTGGCCAAAGATGTGCGTGTTTGTGCGCGACTAACATGCCAAAACACGTGGTAAAAAAGTGCAACACTCAACACCCAAAAAGGTACAGGAGCTTTTTTGTTATGCATTGGCCAGACCGTTCAAATGAATGGGCGAACCTATGCATGTTACTCAAAAATGCACAAAAAAGTTAGCTAGAAAAACCCTCATTAACACTGCGCCTAAAGCTGCATTCACACCTGGGCATGTCCAGGACTCTTT